CGAGCTCACCCCAGACTCCAGCAGCGTTTACATATTCCCATTCCTTAGCGGATCGACGATCCTTAGACCTCAGATCAGCGAGGAAAGCATCCGCAGGGGGCTTAAAGTACTTCATGTGTGTAACCGGTACATGAGGCCCCCGCTCGAAAATGCTTCCCTCGCCCACTAACTTCGACGATTTCAGCTCGGTGACGACCATGCCGTAATCTCGGCGGTTCGGCTTAGCGGTAGCCCAGGCTGCCCGCACAGCCGCTCCCGGCGCAGCCGGGGAGATGGCGTCGTTGTTGTCCGGCATCTTCGTCTAGACACGCTGTGTGTGTCCTACAGAATGTGTCACCGCCCGGTCGAAAGGGGGAATTTCTCTGTCAAAGAGAAATAGACATGCCGGGGACGGCGGGGGTTGCGAAGGATACCGCGGGAGCTCTCTTAAGTGCAACGCGGAGATTCGCAACGGCGACGCTCGGCATGCTGACAGTAATTACACCAGCTCGCTATCCTTTGATAATTCTTCACCAGCATACACTCCGTGTACACAAACGCGAAGAGGGAAATTATTCGTAACCTTGGGTCAGTTTCAGTAGTTTTAATACGCACTGACTTGCGCACGAGAGAATCAAGCTCATCAACTGTAAAACTATCAAGCGTGTAGTTGTCTTGAGCAATTAACCATCTCTCAAGGGTTTCGTCCTTCAATTCAGCCCGCGTAGTGACGCCGGGGAAAGTTTCTAAGTCAATAAGTGATTCAAGCAAATCGAAATCGACAGAAGAGACCAACGAAACCGGTTTAAAATCACTTCCTTGTGACTCTGCCTCTGAAACGCGTAGAAGATAGCGCTCCCTCTCCCGCAAAAAAATGTGAATCGTCTTTCGTCCAAGTTCTGTTAGTTCGGGATGTCGCTCTGGAATAAAAACCGGCGGCCCGACAGTAGAATGGTTTTTCAAACTCATGATCGTAACCTAAGGAGGCTTAGTGATCACTATTGCTAGCACTCCACAACTCGTGGAGGTCTTGGGATCGATGCCTCTTTATTCTTTTGAACCTCAGGTCTTTGAGGCTTTATGTAGGGATTTGACTACCGGAAAACTACAGGAATCGCTAGACAGTTCCTCTCTTCTAGAATGCATGCACCATCATGGTGCATCAAATAATGTCAAATGCAAGAGAGGGACAGCTGACACTTCCCACAAGGTACTGTGTCACAGTACCACATAAGTGATAGGGAAGAAAGGCTCATGTGTAAGGCGCGCGTCTGCAAGGTCTTTTTGAGTGATGTCCAAGTATTGCTGGAATGAGCGCAGAATGTAGTACGTTCTGTGCTGTAGTAGCTCTTTCCTAGCCAACTTATAATTGCTCCCCTGCCCGAGAATCTTTTCATCATTCAGATGAGCCGGTTAGAACGTGCACTATGAGCTCGTTAATGCCCGGTTTTCCGGTGCGCATCTCAAGCCCTTTACGGGAGGGCAACTGCGTATGCGCTCAGCGCTTACATGAAAGAGACCTTGCGCCTTCGCTCGACGCGCGAGCGACGTGGCGATAATGCCGGATTGGCTTGGGAAGTTGAGTTGCAGCACGGTTGGGACGAACAAGTATATAGGTGCCTCTACGAATACCCTCAGCACACACCTCGCACACTACGGGTCCGGTCCCAGTCGTCTCTCACTCAAGAGGTCCCCAGAGACGAAACGTCGTCCTAGCCCGCACTCGGACTCGTCTCTCATACGGAACCTATCCGGGCTGGGCCCCTCTCAGATGTGCTGCTGAACAAGTTTTTCGATATCGCCTCGTCCCGCAGAAAAAAAGGCCCACCGCAGTTTAGAAACGGCTGAGCGTGTGGACCCGCGGGGGCTGTCGACGAGAGATGACGAGCCGAAAATCTGCATGGCGTCGATGGAGGGAGAGAAAGGGGACAGATGCTACAGAGGAGTCGATCAGGACAGGCAGCGAGCAAGCGACGACGGTGATAAAAATTCTTCAGAAGGCAGTGTCGCGGAGAGTTAGAAAAGACTGTAGAGTGTGGAAAGGGGGGCAGCTTGGGGCGAAGACTTTTCGAGTGTCGAGATCGCGAAGGATTCGTTGAGAAATGTTTGTAACTGTTTGTTTGGTGCAGGGAAGCGCCTGTTACTGTCGCTGTTTGAGTGCGCAAAGCTAATCAAGGGTTGGGACGTCGACGACGACAGCAAGCAGTGGGACCAAGGGAGTGCGTGGCATCGACGTGGAATCGGAGGAAGCGGACTGCAAAGATAGCATGCAAAAATAGCATGCATTTAATTGGTTGAATCGTTTGAATCAAAGCGTATGGCGCCCAATGACGTCACTTCTTGAGAGGTCGGAAACCGGGATCGCGGGCGGAAGACACTCGGAATGGATGAGAATCACGTCTCGACGCCCAACGAGATACAATGCGTCGGATGGTGCCGGGGTCACGGGCAGCGAGCGACATGCTGATGCTGGGTAGCAGCCACCCCTCTTCGTGCAGATTCCAGAGTTTACTTGTTTCGACCCTGTTTACTCCAGTGCTGGTGCTCGTCCATAGAAAACGACAAGCACAACTGTGCATGCTTCAAACCAGCAAACATGATCACATATATGGGTCGTACAGTTATGCATTTTCTGTGTACACAACTGCTATCGCCAGGCGTGGCAAGGGTTGTGATCTACTCATTTCTGCCCTTCTGATCGAGGTTAAACATGTAAAAAAACCGCACAAAACACACTAAAAGCACAAGAGCTACATCTGGATGAAAGGTTGTCTGACTGAGAAGTTCTTGCAGGATCATTATTGGCATGTGAAAAAGCTGCGCACGTACGTCGAATCCGTAAAAATTTTCAACACCGCATAAAGAACGGCCGTGTCCGCTCTTCTTTACAATTTCCTGTAGTATGTTCGAGTATATTCAACCATGAATGTGCAGCATTCTAAATACAGTACCTTCAATGGATATGTGTACGTATGTTCATGTTAGGATCAACTGTCCGGAGAAAGAATGTAATGATAGATACTTTTTGGCGGATCCCATCGCTCCCCTATTTCGGCCCGTCATCTCCGTCATCTGTGTGTAGCAGAAAATACAACCTCAAAACTCAAAATCCCACCAACAGCAACAAAAAAACTTGTGAAGATTCGACAGTGACGGCAGAATCTCTATTCACGTCTACCGACACACACATGCGACCACGGCAAAGCACCGACGCACCCCTAAACCAGAAAACATGCATCCCGCTCATTCTTGAAGATGATGAAGATATTGAAGATGACGTTTTTCGAATCCCCATGCGCACACTGTCCGTCTTTCGTTCTACGATGAATTGTGAATCGCAGCTCTCCAGAGCTGCATCGCAAACTGCGATTCACAATTCAGCGTAGAACGATGCAGCTCTTCACTTAAATAGAAACATATAGACCCGGGTGTATCTAACTGCGCTCTCCCGGATGCACCGCAAACCTCAACCAACCTCAGCTTCGCTCAACCACCCTTTACCAACTGCTCGTCCGCTACGAATGCAAAAAGTTCGTAACAAGCTCTGGAGGTAAGCAACCTGAGAACCATTTTCTATGTCTAACTTTTCTCTCCACTCCGAGGTGTCTCCCGCCACCGAAGATCCGTCCCCAGTTCCGACCGTTACAGAGAGGACAGAGAGTCCTGCCTCTCACCGACACCTACCCCGCTCGCCCCCTTCCACCGGCAGCCGCCTCGCAAAAATCCGGCGCTCCCTCTCTACTGCCGTCGGCGGAGCCTGGCGCTTGGTCCGCAAAGCCGGCCGCCCGTTCCGCTGCACCTCCAAGCCTCCTGTTGAAACCACGAGCCTCACAAAGGGCTCTAGCAAGTCGGCGCTCGCTCCATCAGATTACGAGCAGGGTCCCATCCGCTCGCTGTCGGTAATTGACATCACCGACGAGCAATCGATTTCTGCCCCTCCCGGAATCAACAATCCGGAAAACCATCCCAGGAATCGATTTCCGCCCATCCCGACTATTCCTGTCAAAGCCCGCGCGGTCACGTTCGCCGTCGGCGAGCCCGCCGAGCGCTCCATCCCGTTCTTCGAGACCACGTCTCCCACCCCCACCCCCGTCGGCTCCGGGTCGCCTTTTGCACCCGTCGCCGTCGTCCGCGGCAAGCCCGAGTGGCAGAGAAGCGCCCCCACAGAAGACGCCGGTTCCCCGGTGTCGAACGCCACCGCAAATTCTGCGGAGAGGGCCCTCTCCTCAGCCACCTCTGAGCACGAGCTACCCACGCAGCCCGCCCTCAAGACCCTCTCGTCCATCCCGGGGCCGGCCCCCACGCCGGCACCGCTCAAGGAAGCCAATGCCAAAGTTCCCCCGCGCATGACTAGGGAGCATGCACTGAGCATCTCGGCGACAGACCGCCCGCGGCGCACCACAGCCGCTAGAGCCAAGAGTGTGTCCGTGCCGGAGAAGGCAGCCAAACAGGTGGAAAGGAAGAAGATCATTCGGAGGAGAAACGGGCAGCGCTGGATGGTGCCGCACATGGAGAGCATGGACATGCCAAGGCCGTTCACGCCGCCCGCTGGCACCACGTTTGAACTCTTCTCAGGTAGAAGGGATCGCAATGAGGCTCGCACTTTGATCAGTGCGTGCACGTATCTAGAATTAGAAGTGATGCGCATGCGCGGGCTGTTGGCTGGGGAGAAGGGCAAGTTTTGCTGTGGTAACGCTGGTAACAAAGACGGCAACAAGGGATGTCAGTGCGCGATGCAAACCTTTTTAGAGCAAAGCTCACATCGGATGAAGGGAGTCCTCAAGATTTTGGAGGATCGGTACGACAGTATTGAGCAAGTTTACATGAAGAGTCGGGAGTATGCCGCCCACAGGTTATTAATAAGCTTGCAGCGGGGCATCATGAAGCTGCTAACCAGCACCGGGATGTTTAAGCACACATACCAAGAAGTGATGCTTCCCTCATCCCGGGAATGCCAACCTATGAGCCTGGCCTACCAGCACAGAAACGGTTCAGGATATGGCGGGGCCAATGCGCGCTTTTTAGATGATTGACGATTGATGGGCGTGCGGTGTGGAGAAGACATATATGGGATACGTGTGACATTGTACAGTGCTAGTAGATAAAGAACATGCTTGATTGTTTGATACGCTCATCCCCCTTCCCGTCTTTCCATTTTACGTTTCCCCCTCTTGCCTGTTTGTACGCTTCGAAGGTAACTGATGGTAAAGAAAGTGGTAGAGGCCTGGTTTTGAAGCGCAACTGAGAGGAGGAGCGAGAGCGCGAAAACGCTAGAGTGGAGGAGATGAAGAATAAGGCGAAGCGTCTCTGAGATTGACAATGCAAAACAAATGCCTCTGTATCACTGCAGTTGGCTATTGTCCTTGTTGTATACCGTGGAAATTGTCGTCCTCGTCACTCAGGAGCGCGGCGCTAGAGAGAGAATAGGCACAGGGCCCTGTGCCCCTTTTCCCACCAATACTATTCCGTGCGACACCACATGCTACAGACTGAGTTGTTGCTTGCTCCTTCATGATCGGGCATCCGTTTTACCATATACTGTATATTACACATTATACAAATCTCCTACAACGACTATTGCGAAACATTCTGAAGAATGCCTGTCGGCTGAACAATAGGTGAGTTGGGTGAACGAAAAAGAGACGCGGTGAGATGGGTGAGGCAAAGGCAAAACATTTACAGTCAACACGCGGATAAAACAGAAAAAACGGGTTCAAAGCAGTTGAGAGGATGCCGGAAAAAGTGTATTTATCAGTACCAACCTAGCTCTGCTTTCAAACGCCTCGGTTTTGGTACACCTCCTTCCAACCAGTCAGACGCGCACCGAACGCGCACCAAATACGCATTGAGTACATTTTTATTGAACAGTTGCTTGGCCGAGATGTTCTCGCGAGGTCGATATTGCAAAGTGAAAAAGCTCAGACCCCCTTCGAATCCATTGACTATTTTCAGTACCGCACGCACAACCCCTACTCTTGTTTACAACTTCCTGTACAATGCGCAAGCTTATTGAACGACGTATGTACGTTATTCCTAGTGGGATCTCATGACTGACCCTACCCAGCACGGTCGCAGTTCGTAGTGATGGAAAATACCCTGTGCATCCTAGTCCTCCTATCTTTGCCCGCAGTCTCCCGTCCTCTGTGTCTCAAAAGAAAATAAAACGCAAACCTCGAAATCCGACGAGTAGCAACAAAAATGGTTGAAAGATTGGACACAGACAGCAGAATCACGCCTCACATCTATAAACTGACAAACGCATTCAACTATAGTGGCGTCGCGATAACAGAAAGCAAGCATCCTACCCATGCTTGAAAGATGGTCCCTCATGTGCTCACTGTCCGTCACTCTTTCTACGATGAATACTGACTTAGTTACAAAGGCGCTCTCCAGCTCAATAATAACAAAAACCCTTGATGCACCTGACTGTGTTGTTTCCCCGGGCGCAATGTCAACCTCAACCATATTCAACGTTGCTTTAAACACCGTTTAACACCTGCGCGCTGTAATCAGCTCATCCGCAACGAACGCGAGACGACTGCAACAAGCTCCAACGATACTTACTCCTGAAATTTTTGTCATGTCGAAATTCTTTTTCTACGCAGAGGTGCCCCCCACCGCCGGATATCCATCCTCAGCCCTGTCCCTCACAAACAAGAATCCTTCTCAACCAAACCAACCCCGCTCGCACCCCTCCACTTCCAGCGCCATCGGAAAAATCCGGCGTTCCCTCTCTTCTGCTGTCTGTGGCACTTGGCGTTCGATCCGCATTTCTGGGCATCCCTTCTGCCGAAACCCGAAGCCCGACGTGCAAATCTCGAGCCCCACGAGTAGATCTGGTAGTCCAGCGCTTGTTCGGTCAGAATGCGAGCAGGGCCGCATCCACCCGCTGCCGGACGCGAACATCATCGACAACGACTCGGTCTCCAGTACATCGGATGAGAGCTGGGAACGCCGGGAGCGCGCGAATTGTCGTCTATGTGCTGACGCGAGGCAGCGCGAGGCCCTTGCTTTGGACGGAAACATCGTCGAACTCAGACCTTCCTCTCGGCCGCGGCTTTATGAAGGGCTCGGAAAGACGTTTTCCGCAGTTACAAACCCGGAGTCGGAGAAAGGCAAGGGGCACAGAACCATTGCAAAATGTGGAGTCCAGCTCTCAGACTTATTCTCAGATGAGACTGAAGGCGGGGAGGAAGTCCAGAGTGCGAATGCGGCAGTAGCTCCATTTGTGCCCGCCGGGCGACTGGAGGATGCCTTACCTAGGCTGTTCTCTACGC